ACTATAAAAGCATTGCCAGACTGAACACACCCTATAAAAGCCTTGCCAGACTGAATAATATAAATTTTGAATTAACTTTTTCTTTATTAGTAGCTAAAGTTAGCCCAGTTTATTTTTTTATAAATGTCGTTAATTAGAAAAATCCAAAATTTAATAACGCGTCTCTTTCAAAAGTAGCTCAATCTGGTTACCCAGATTCCGAAGAAATTTTTAAAATGGATAGAAGATTTGGACATCAGAGTAAGAATGGGAATCATTCACATAATTACATTACTAAAATATCTAGATCACACAAGAGAAATTAAAGAAAAATTGGACAAGAGGAAATTGATAGTAGTACCGATTGTTATTGGCACACTCGAACCAGGTCCACGCAGAGTTCCCAAATTGGACTAAAGGCAGCGAATTTGGCTACATTCCAAAGCAAGTGAATTTGAAATTAACATTTTTCTCTACAGGAATTGGAATTCCAGATTTGCATCGCTCTTGGGATCACTGGGACAAGTAAGCCTTCTACCATGGCAAGGAATATGAACATGAAAATATATACAGTCCCCCCTCCAAAAGTATGATAAACTTTCCCCTTTGGTACGTAGATTGACGAATTTAGGCGCAGTACTAGATTAGGGGCAGGGTAACATTATTTTACAATTGAAATGTTTAGATGTCACCGTCAGTTCTATGCTAACTGTTATTTTCTATCGCACTTCTCGCTTGTGGAACTCTTTTCCGGATCATTACTTCCCTGTCAACTTTGATCTTCTAAAATTTAAATGCAATATCAATTGTTATATTATGTCTTCTAAATTATTGTTATTTTATTGTCCTCTCTCATTAATAGTAGTTTTTTTTCTGATATTTTCTAACATTCAGTAACCTCTTGCGTCTTAGTGGCTTTATAGCCTTGCTTGGGGTGAAATGATTAAAAACAAATATAGAGAATCTGGATACATTTGAGAATCCAATGCTACTAAAATCTGAATTGACTTTCTCTTAATTGGTAGCCCAAGGCAGCTCAACTTGAAAAAAAATGTCGCTGCCAAATATTCGGCAGTTACTCTCTTGTGCAAACTAATTGAAACAACCTCTTTAGTTTCCTTTCTTTCACCATACGGTCAGAGTGACAAGATGTAAACGATTCCTATTTTTTCCTCAGAACTGGTCATTTGCAGCTCTTCTTCGAGGACATTCAGCTTCGGCTACTAACGAAAGACCGGAGATAAATACTGAAATTTTTCTACCCCCTTATGCAAATTAATTAATGCAAAACGAATAATTCCGTCATTAATTGCATTTTTTCGTATTTTTCCAAATGAAACATGATCCAATACATATGGTAGTACTTCGTATGTCCATTCCACGAAGTCGTTCCTTGCAGATTGACCACAGATTCTCGATTGGATTTAAATCAGCAGAGTTTCCGGGCCAGTCTCTAGTACTTTGATTTGCTCACTGGTAAGGCTTATCAGTGTGTTCGCGCAGCGTTACAATTTTCGTACGCTTCCTTGGAGTAACGTCCATCGCAGATAATGGCCGTGAGACAGCTAATCAACAGTCGATACAATAGTGTCTGGGAGTGATAAAAATATGATGCAATCACGGATGACGCAATATCTTTCAAGGCCAAACAAATTTCATCATACACCCCGAAAATAGATTCATATTACTGCACACCACTGAAAATGGTATAATCTGAGGAAAAATAGAAATCGTTTACACACTGTCACTCCAGTGGGTCTAAAACTGGCCGAATGATGGAAGAAAGGAAACTAAAGCGGTTGTTTCAAATAATTTGCACATGAGTGTAAAAATAGTTCCATATATTCTTCTATACGTATCGCTATTTTTCAACATTTTTCTTGGCGTCCGCAAGTCTGCTTTTAACGTAGACCCCAAAAGCTATAAGTAGCTAAAATTTAACAGCCTTATACTTTCAAAAAGTTACCAAAGTGTCAAACCACTTCAGATAAGGACACTGAGTCTAACTGTTAAAATCACCCAACTTTTGTATGATAATTTAAACAGGATCAATTTTACATTGCAATAGACATTATATTTTCCGTCTCATCTTTCTAGTGTGGGGGTTTACCATCGCTATTGACGCGTTTCTATTTCAGAGATTGAGTAAGATTCTGCTATCGATCGTTTGGTAATGGAATCAATAGTGGGTCCCATAAAAGGATCGATGGTTAATCATATAGATATCTGCTGATTGTGGTATGAAAAATTACGGTGGTTGATAAACAAGAAGAGACAGAGATAGGAACAGTAAGAAGACAGATACGAATAGCCAGTGACAAAGAAAGAAAGAAAGAAAGAAAGAAAGAAAGAAAGAAAGATGAATGAAACAAATCCTGATAAATAAGAATATCTTCCAGGGATAAAAACAGATATAAACAGAAATATAAACATAGATAGATAGATAGATAGATAGATAGATAGATAGATAGATAGATAGATAGATAGATAGATGTCACTAGACTAAGATAGGAAGAAACAAGTCATATGCAGATAGATAGATAGATAGATAGATAGATAGATAGATAGATAGATAGAAACCATATGCAGATAGATAGATAGATAGATAGATAGATAGATAGATAGATAGAAACAAAAATCATATGAAGATAGATAGAAAAAGTGGATGAGAGAAACATTTTGTTGTATATATGTTTTTTATCGAGTTGAATTGTCGAAATACGTACAACTTTATTGTGCTTTCACACGTCAACTAAATAAAAAGTCCACACTAAAAATATTTTTAAAAATATTTGTTTCATCCACTAAGTTTTGTATAATATAAAAATTTTTTGGCTATTTAATATCAATATCCAGATATATAGGCATCGATAGACAGGGTGATATATATATATATATATATATATATATTTATATATATATATATATATATATATATATATATATATATATATATATATATAAAAATGAAATGAATAAAACAAGTTAGGTTTCGTTCAATATTTGTACGTAATCACTAAATCAATATTTAATTTCTGTGATTTCGGAGCCAAATTGTTCGTTAAACGAAACATTTTGAGAAAAATCCGGAACTGTGAAAAGGGCCATAACGGGCGGGAAATATCAGAGCGTTTTATATAAATGTTACGTTGCATTGCATTCTGGGATCGCTGTGCGAGCCGATAGCAGATCACGGGATTACAGATGATGAAACGGGCAAGGGTTAATGGAAATGCAGTAAGGGGAGATAACTGCTGATGTTATCCTCGGAAGCAGTCATCGCTGCTTCTACGTTCCCTTGATCCTCAATCTTCCATCATTTTCTCTCCCTCCCTTTCTCTCTCTTTCTTCTTCTCTCTATCATTCTCTTCTCTCTTTACTTCTGTATCGCTTTCTGCTCCTTTTCTCTGTTTTTCTCCTTTTCCTCCTCTCACTCTATCTACCTATCTGTTTCTTTTTTCTTCTCCTCTTTCTAGTTTTCTCTCATACTCTTCCTTTCTTTTTTTTTTTAGTCGCTCTCTTTCTTCCTATTTACAGATTTCTATCTCCTCTACAAACATTCTTTTCATCCTTCTTCTTTTCTTTTTTTTAATTTCTCTCTCTCTCTGTTTTTTTTCTCTTTTTTTTAGGTACCCCATTTTCTCTCTCCCACTCTCTCTTTCTCATACTCTCTTTTTCTTTCTTTTTCCTACCCTTTCATTTTTCTCTTACTTTTCTTCTCTCTCTCTCTATCTTCCGCTTTTCTGTCGCCCTCTCCGCTCACACTTTCTTCCATTTTTCTCTACTTCTTAATATAAATATATATATCCTCTCTTTTCTTCTTATTCTATCTAATTCCGTTATAAATATTTTTAAAAAATTGATTTCTCTTATCGCCTACCCTATTTTCATTTACAAAATATTTTTCTTTTCTTAATCTCTCTTCGTCTCTATATTTATCAAAACAAACTAGAATGATTTCTTATTGATTCTTTTCAAAAAATCTCTCTCTCTCTTTCTCTTTCCCCCTTATTTTTACTTCCCCTTTTCTCTTTTAGTTCCTTTGCAACTTTCCTTTCTTCCTCTCTCTCTCTCTCTCTCTCTCTCTCTCTACCCCTCGTTCATTTTCCTGTCCTACTCTTTTCTTTCTCTCTTAGTCACTCTCTTTGTCTCTGCTCTCTTTCACTCTACTCTTTCTACTTTATGTTCTTTCTGCCCCCCCCTCCAGCATTCTCTCTTACTTCCCTTCACCGATTTTCCCTCTCGCTTTGTCTTTTTTTCTTTTCTCTCCCCCTCTCTCTTTTCTTCTCAGTCTCTCCAATTTCCACCTTCTTATTCTTGTCTCTTCGTCCTCTCTTAATCACTCTCTCCGTCTCAATCACCCCCCTCTCTCTCTATGTTATGCTCTTTCTGTCTCTAATTTAATGGCGACGTCCTTCATGTTGCAATATCAAGGAAATCTAAAGAAAAGAGGCGATGTCGGGTGATATGGAGAAGGGAGACATCATTTTGTCCCCTGCTGTCATTTCTTGAATAATAAGAAGGTTCTTCACAACTTTGTAAGATAATATTAATAATAAAGCCCACCATCTTTGCCACAACGCCCATCACTAATAATTAGAAGTACTCATAAAAGTTTCACGATTTTCCTATTAGAATTTTCTTATGAATCATAATTCTTTAGTCAATGATTGAATAAGTGCCTTACTAATTCCAGGGCTATAAAATACCCATGGATATTCTTCTCTTCCCTCGTGAAATATTTGATTCGATTGATTTGGGTTTTTTTTTACGTATTTGCAACTCTTTGCGGCTTATTTAAAACCAGAAACTATGTTGGGATTGTAAGAATTTTGTTGGAGATAATAATGATTTACTAATACAAGTCTTACTAATTAACCCATAGATGGGAGGAGAAGGTGTTAATTCATACTTTTCCCAAGGGTTTTTGCGCGTAAGGGAATATAACGAACCCAACTGGAATTGAAACTCGGTTCTCCGATTTATTTACCCATCCTCACATCCAAGCTTACATAGACTGATATTTCCAAACGGTGTACGCATCCAAGTACTGACCGTGCTCGACGTTGCTTAACTTCGGTGATCGTTCGTGAACCGGTGTTTCAACGTGATGTGGCCGTAAGCCGTTGAATATTTGAACTTAACAACTTTATTAAAATATTGCAATAACAATCGTAAGTAATGAAGACAGGTCATTATTTAAAGAAGTAAGAGGGTACAAATGAAAAAAAATATAAACTGACAAGGTTTTCAATTTCACTGAAACCAACTCATGAGAGAATTATCGCCTTCTCTTTCCTTTCTTTTTTCACTAAAATCATTCAGCGCTTTTTCTTCTGTTTTTCTCCGCAATCAAAACAGAATGGTCTATTATTTATCTGAGTCAATGGCAGCACGCAAAATCCAACACCCGGTAAGCAATTGTGTCTTAGTGGCTTTATTGCCTTGCATCGAGTGATTTCGATAATAAAAAAAGAAAAAAGTTACCACAGTGGTGTGCTAATGACCGTATTCCAAAGTGAAACTAGCCGAATATAACCATTCGTTCATGCTTAGAATACTGCTGCCACATATGGTCCGGTTTCCTGCTATTTATATATTTAGATATCCTTGATAAAATCGAAAGAAGAATCAGCAATATTATCCGCCTTGATCTGGCCTCTCAGCTTCAGTCACTTTCCCACCGTCGTAAGGTTGCCTACCTGTCCCTTTTCTATAAATACTTTCATGGTAATTGTTCGGATGAGCTCTTGTTGTTATATTCCCAAACTCCTACCCGACAGACATAAATTGTACATATGGGAACTAGGTCGAACTTCGTCGAGACAAGAGGTATTACGGTGAATGTTGTTAGAATGGTAGATAAGAATGTGCTGTTTTGGTGTAGGGAATATTGTGATATGCTTAAGTCAGTGATTGTGGCTAGTTAAGTTTAATGTTAAGACAGAAGAAGACCGTCCTTTTCCCCATTCTCCATTTTGGCTTTGTGCTACATTTCTGTACATAATGCCGACTAAATATCGCTCTTCCCTCTGCTACCTAGACTTCATGAATTTAAGCGTAAGCTGGCGTCGAAATTCCATCAATTTACAGCTGAACCGGTTAAATGTAGTTCTATGCTAACTGTTTCTTCCCTTGCACTTCTCGCTTGTGGAACTCTCTTCCGGGTCCATGCTTTCCAGTCAAATTTAAATTCAATGTCAATCGCTATCTACTGTCCTACTGATTTCTCTTCTTTTGTTCTCCTTCCTTAGTAAGGTTTCTGTTTCTAGTTCTTCCACACCCGATAAGTCATTGTGTCTTAGTGGCTTTATTGGCTTGCATCGAGTGATTTCGATAATAAAAAAAGAAAAAAGTTACCACAGGCGTGTGCTAATGGACGTACTCCAAAGTGAAACAAAAGGGTTAGGGATTTACTATGTTGCTTTTCTTCCTAGCTTCACCCTTACCCGGGGTGGTAGCACCTTTTAGGGTCTTCTGTTGACCATGTTTGCCGTAGTCTCTGAATATGGAATCCAGTGAAGTCCGTAATCTCTTCAATATCAGAGGTTGGCAGTGTAGATTCGGAGAAAGTAGCGGCTGTTAATTCTTTAAGTCTTCAATATCAGAGGTTGGCAGTGAAGATATTTTGGGGAGAAAAAACAAAATGGCTGCCTTTATACACGTCGCATTGAATATTTTGAGCTTTCTGATTGGTTAACCCTTCTCTTGATGGACTATAAAATGAGTCAGCTCGTTTTGGCTAGCTCACTAGTACCAAAAGGTACCCCAAAATTCCAACATCTTCATGCTGTATTTTAAACGGATTCGGCTGAAGTCGATACAATTTGTTAGTATGTCCGTATTGTTGGTAATTTTTATATAAATATATATCGCTGGTACTTTTACTATAAAAATGTATTTTTATACTTTCATAGTGTTTTGCTTTTGCTTGCGGGTTACTATTTGCCCATAGCTGGGACCCTAACAGGTGCTACCACCCCGGTTAAGGGTGAACCTACGAAGAAAAGCAATTAAGAGGTGGTTCTACACTCCTCAAAACCTCCAATCTTCTGATCAAAGGCCTTGCTGCCGGATTTAGTTTATCGTCATACCCAGGACAATCGCTGGTTGCCATTAGACTTGACACCCGTAAAAGTTTTGTAGTGACGGGACTAGCCATGAAATCTTCAACATTGACTATTTCTTCATCACTATTTCATATGACATTAATTTATATAATATCCGACAATGTCTTAAATCAAACTGGATTCCAAAATATAACTTAAACAGAACTACAACATAAAATAGACATATCACTGCCTCTAGTAATTATGTCTATACATACATGTATATGCATAAAAGCTGAGTATCATCTACCATGTATTCACTTGTGAAAGCAGAATAACATATGCTATAAACTGCCAAGAAAATTCAATTTCCATATTAAATGACCCATAAAGTGTTGATATGCCGTTAGACAAATCAAATCAATCAACCGATCTGCGAAGGCCGACGTCCACTCAACGCCTAAAATAAGACCGAATGCCCACCGCAGCAAGTCAAAAGCCCACTGCTTCGTCCTAGCGTTCAGGTTCAATTCCTACTCAGTGGCTTTCGAAAAGCAACAGTTGTCGAATCATTTGACAGTGTGCAAGAATTTTTCCAGAATGAAAACTTAGAATCAATGGCAAAGGATTTGAAAAGTTAAAAGAAATTTTCAATATGGCAGTTTTTGTTTCAAGTTATTTAACGGCATAAATTTGAAACTTCAAAAAAAAATGATACATTTACTGACACTAAACATATCATTTTATTTTATTTTGTTTGTTGCTTTATTGAGAAAATACAACTTTATCATCGCCATGTTCTACGTAAGGATTTGCATTATTTCCCACAGCTAGCATTTATTTATTGTCAAGGAAATTTCAGACAGTGATTATGTATATTTTGGCGAACATTTCAAATTGGTTTCTGATGGCCTGGAATCATGATTTGTGGATATTATTCCCAAAGACGGGCCCGAATGGATCTTTGATCCTGTCATTACTGATATAGACAAGGTGATGGATCCAAATTTGATTGAAGAATGCCTCCCGTTGCAATATGATAATGGAGCTAAAATGGCACACAAATGAGTTTATCAAGTTATGTGGACACACCAGAGTATTACTGCAGTTATCCAAACTTGCAGTCAAATGTTGAATTTCAGTTTTTTTTTCTTCTCCTGCTTCATATGTTATTTGGTTTTTACAGAACTAGAACTTGTTTGCTTTTACAGTACTAGAATTTGTTTGCTTTTAAAGTGCTAGAATTTGTTTGTTTTTACAGTAATAGAATTTGTTTGTTTTCACAGTACTAGAAATTTTTTGTTTTTATAATGCTAGAATTTGTTTGTTTTTACAGTACTACAATTTGTTTGCTTTCTACGGTATTAGAATTTGTTTGTTTTTACAGTATTAGAATTTGTTTTTACAGTACTAGAATTTGTTTTTATAGTACTAGAATTTGTTTGCTTTTACAGTGGTAAAATTTGTTTTTACAGTGCTAGAATTTGTTAGTTTTTACAGCATTAGAATTTGTTTGTTTTCTACATTATTAAAATTTGTTTGTTTTTTACAGTACTAGAATTTGTTTTTACAGTACTAGAATTTGTTTGTTTTTACAGTGTTAGAATATTTTGTTTTTACAGTGCTAGAATTTGTTTGTTTTTACAGTGCTAGAATATTTTGTATTTACAGTGATAGAATTTGTTTGTTTTTTACAGTATTAGAATTTGTTGGTTTTTACAGTATTAGAATTTGTTGTTTTTTACGGTATTAGAAATTGTTTGTTTTTACAGTATTAGGAATTGTTTGTTTTTACAGTGCTAGAATTTCTTTGTTTTTTAGAGTAGTAGAATTTGTTTGTTTTCCCTCAGTATTAGAATGTGTTTGTTTTTACAGTATTAGAATTTGCTTTTACAGTATTAGAATTAATTTTTTTATAGTACTAGAATTTGTTTTTACAGTACTAGAATTTGTTTCTTTTTATAGTATTAGAATTTGTAAATTTTTTTACAGTACTGGAATTTTTTTTTGTTTTTAGTATGCTAGAATTTGTTTGCTTTTACAGTGCTAGATTTTGTTTGTTTTTAGAATGATAGAATTTGTTTGGTTTTATAGTTCTAGAATTTGATTTTTACACTATTAGAATTTGTTTGTTTTTTACAGTGCTAGAATGTGGTTGCTTTTACAGTGCTAGAATTTGTTTGTTTTTTATAGTTCTAGAATTTGTTTGTCTTCTACAGTATTAGAATTTGTTTGTTTTTACAGTACTAGAATTTGTTTTTTACATTACCTGAATTTGTTTATTTTTACACTATTAGTATTTGTTTGTTTTTTACAGTACTAGAATTTGTTTGTTTTACAGTGCTAGAATTTCTTTGTTTTTTAGAACTACAATTTTTTGTTTTCTACAGTATTAGAATTTTTTTGTTTTTACAGCATTAGAATTTGTTTTTCCAGTACTAAAATTTGTTTTTACAGTACTAGAAATTGTTTGCTTTTACAGTAATAGAATTTGTTTGCTTTTACAGTATTAGAATTTGTTTTTTTTTTACAGTACTAGAATTTGTTTGTTTTTACAATGCTAGAATTTGTTTTTTTTTGCAGTGCTAGAGTTTGTTTTTTACACTGTTAGAAATTGTTTGTTTTTTACAGTGTTAGAATTTGATTGTTCTTACTGTGCTAGAATTTTTTTGTTTTTTACAGTACTAGAATTTGTTTTCTACAGTATTAGAATGTGTTTTTACAGTACTAGAATTTGATTGTTTTTACAGTGCTAGAATATTTTGTTTTTACAGTGCTAAAATTTGTTTGTTTTTACAGTGCTAGAATTTTTTTTTACAGATCTAGAAGTTGTTTTTTTTTTACAGTACTAGAATTTGTTTGTTTTCTACAGTATTAGAATTTGGTTGTTTTTACAGTACTAGAATTTGCTTTTACAGTACTAGAACTTGTTTGTTTTTGCAGTGCTAGAATTTGTTTTTTACAGTATTACAATTTGTTTGATTTTTACAGTACTAGAATTTGTTTGTTTTTACAGTGCTAGAATTTGTTTGTTTTTACAGTGCTAGAATTTGTTTGTTTTTACAGTACTAGA